TGTGACCATTATGGATACGGACTCGGTGCGGTGGCCCGCCCAGGGGCGGCTCAGGCCGCGCCAGTCGTCCCTCTCGTTGTTTTCAGTTAAACTCCTGGTCAAGTGTTTGTTGTGGACCAGAGGGTGTGGTGGTACGCCTAGGCGCGGGTCCAGCCGTGCCAGCCACCTGGGCCCTCTCCAACCTCCGGTCTTCTTGACTATGTCTTGTCACCGTGCCCAGATGGGGGGGGGGAGTGCGGTAGATGCAGCGCAAGCCCATTATTACTACAAACTTATTCTCGCACAAGTCACCGGACCTGCACAAGCACACAGTGGACATCGTCGGTCACCACGATCGAATTGTCATGTGAATTAATTAGGTTTTACCCCTAAAGCGGGCCACGCGGCGGATGCGGTGGACCAAGACAGGGATTGACGTCTGGCAGGCGTTATCGGGAATGCGCACCCATGCCACCCAGGTGTAGGTGCACGCCGACTGGGGTCCGGGTAGTCCCAATTTTTGTTGCGATTTGAAATTCCTGTCAGTGACCGTTGCAGACGAGGGGTGTGGTGGTGGTGGTAAGCCTAGGTGTGGGTTTTCGTCGTGTCAGCCACCTGTGATCCCCCCTCCCACATTCGGCCTTTTTGAATCTATTTTGACACCAGATTGACGTGGGAGAGGAGGAGCTAGTGAGATAAATGCAACGGAAATCTACCTTCGTTAGGAATCACTTCACGCACAAGTCACCGCCCCTGTCCGGGCACATGGAGGATATCGACAGCCACGACCGTCGAACTGGCAGATTAATGAGGTGGAATCATGTTGTCATGGTCACCGGCTTCCGATGGGTTCAGGGGAAAGTTTGTTTCCGTTCTTTTCTGCCTAGACTAGCGTACGGGTGAATGTGTGAGGGGCCTGCTCGTGAAAAGGCTGCCCTCTACGGCGTGGGAAGTTCTAACTTCAAATTTTATTTCAGCTATTCACTGTAAAATATAGTGAGCGGTGATAGACTATTGAACTCTTGTTGTCTATAAAGTTATTTACACTGAAGTCTGTTGCAAGTCCGGGACAAGCCGATTTAGCTAGTTCCAGAGGCCCTGTCTATCCTGCGTTTATTGCTGACACAGCAGCGCAGTCCTGTACTTAGATCCCCCCCTTCCACAACAATCGCTGAAATTCTCAATTTCTTGCGGAGTTTACTTTTTCGAACATCCTCTCCCTCTTTCTCGCTCCACAATCATTTGCAGTGGAGCATGCATGAAGCATCCTTGCACACGAGAGCATCTAAATGCCGGTAGATTTGCTCCAATCGCAAGAGACGGATCGCCATCGCTGCCAGCAGAATATGTCCCCTCGAGACTTTATTTGCCAGTTTGTTAGTTGAATCAGTTAGACCTGCCGTTCGCATCTAATATTCGCGAACGTGGTTATATGGCAGCTACGTACTATAAATACTATACGCCTGCCTCCACCACGCTTATCTCCGCCTGTCTCTGATGATGGGTTCGGGTGAGAATCCGAGACGTCAGGCCAATAAACTTCCTGTTCCAGTGATCGCAGCATCCTCTTCTTCTGAAACCTTGTGACAGTTCGATCGTCTGCCCCATAGCATGACGGATGCAGGGACGGTGAATAAAATGTGGATTAGTTTATGGTGATAGTGGTCTTTCGCAGCATCTATTACACCCTCTCTCCCCCCTCTGCCTTCCTGAGCTCAGTGTCGGGGTAGATTCAAAATGACCACTGAAGTATAAGGTGCTCACGTTCTACACAAAGCGACGAATATCATTTTTCGACAATCACAAGAAGGATTGCACGACGATCGCGAATGTCATGATAGGCGACTGGCTATGAACCGCTAACTGCCAACAATCTGATGGACGCTGAATCTACGACAGCCACGAGAGAAACCGGCTAAGAATGATGATGTCAGCGCTGCCGCCGAGGTGATGTAAGGCTTCGAGTTAACGTCTGCAGCCATCTGCTTATCCTGCGTTTATTACTGACACAGCAGCACTGACCTATGCTCAGGTCCCTCTTTCCACTCCTATCACGACTTTCTTGTTGAGTTTGCTTTTTTGATCATGCTCTCCCTCTCTATCGCTCCAGAATCATTTGCTGTGAACCATACATGAAACACCCTTGCACACAAGAGCATATAAATGCCGGTATATTTGGTGCAAGCCCAAGATACGGATCGCTAGCGCTGCCGGCAGGATATGTCCGCTCGAAATTCCATTCGCCAGCTTGTTAGTGGAATCAGTTAGATCTGCCGTTCGCATCTAAAGTTTGCGTCAGAGGGACATTTGGAGAGAGAGAGAGAGAGAGGAGGGAGGAGAGGGATCATTTAGATGAGAGTGATGCTCACTGAGTTAGTCTGTCTGCTGCGCTGAGTACGGGTGAAAAGTACTCAGACATGTTCATCAATGTTGCCATTGAATCACTTGAAGCAGAGCCGACAGGGACTAGGCCGTGGCATAATTGACGGCACTGCTGAGAACCCCGCTCCGAAAGTTGATAGAAGAAAGGTTGGTATCAGCTTTAAGACTGTATCTAAATGTCCAATTTATCAGCTGAGACACTGCGATCGATGTGAACTATGTCCAAATAATGGACGATTTTAGGAGCTCAATTTCAGGCTGCAGCAAATTTGACTGTGTGCTCAATATTGCCAACCGCCGTCGACAAGACAACGGACCCATGACATAGCGACAGATCGTTGGTCCTGTTTTGAAGCCCGGGATCGGGCGTGGCTGGCTGACGATGGCTGCCACGCCCGGAGCAGCCACACCGGCCTCCCAGCCTCTTTCTGGCTACATGTGCAACCTTGCCGCGCAAGACCGTCATTGTCGGTGATAGTGGTCTCGCGTGAGTCGTTCAGACCACCGTCTTCTCTGCGTTCTCAACTGCCCCGTGCTTTTTTTCCTCTCATAGGCAGTCGCAGCTACGGCCTCCTGACAAATATGCAACCGGAACACCAAAGGTAGATGAAGAGGAGGGAGCCGTGAACATTCATAGGTATGCGGTGGCATGGCTACGGCATCCTATAAATACTGCAGCCACATGTGCATGAACCACCCTTATCTGCTTATGTCTCTGATGATGGATTCGAGCAGGAATCCGAAACGTCAGGCTAATAAAGCTCTTGTCCCGGCGATCGTGTCTTCTTCTTCAAGACTGCTTCCTGGGACTCGTCTTTTCGCTTCTATTGGCAATGTATTTGGGCGCGATGCGCTCCGATCGGCCCGGCGATGGGAAACCTTCGCCCTTCGGGAGGCCTCCACGTATTCGCAGATCCGGTTTCTGCACAGGTGTCTCGACAATAATGTGTTGCCGAAATGTGTTTCATACAAGCCTCCAGTTAACACAGATTTGGCGAGACGGGCAGTATTTCAACATGGCAGAAGGATGATCCGAGTGCTCCTCCAAGATTGCCACGCGAGACTTCGCAAGTACCGTCAAAGGATTGACCAAGAAAAGACCAGACGCTGTGAGTTCATGGGTAAGATCGGTACAAATCTGCTCCTGCAGAGGATAGCTGAACAAGCCCGCGAACAGAGAATAATACGCGACGCAGCACTGGAGAACAAATTCCGAAAGCTGCCCAATCCAACGTCGCCCAGAAACGACAAACTGGTGCACAACCTGTCGTCAAAGGAGCTGACGAAGGATCAGATGCAGGTTTTAAGGCACGAAGCTTCATTCAACACGACTGACGCTAAACCTGTTAACATGATTGCAGCAGTGGAATCAATCCTTAGTCAGACGGAGGCAACGGAGGAGACCAAGAGCCTCATCCGACACCAAGTGTCGTCTCTCCTAATGGCCCACAGGCCGCGGGAAGTGCTCTCCAAGGTCGAACGTGATGCGCTTAGAGAACTCAAGGTCGACAAAGACCTGGTCATCGTGCCAGCGGACAAGGGGCGCTCCACGGTTGTGCTGGACAGGACAGACTACCTTCAAAAAGCCAAAGGTTTGCTGGAGGACCGACAGTTCTATGTCCCATGTGCAACGAACCCTGTAAAAGCGCTGACACGCGAAATCAATGCTACGTTGTTGGCCTTGGAGAACTCAGGTGCAATAACACCGACCGACAGACGCATGGCGAGACCCCAAGATACGGCTTTGGCCCGATTCTATGGCCTCCCTAAGGTGCACAAAGACGGCGCTCCTCTCCGACCCATCGTGTCGCTCAAAGGTACTCCAACGTACGGACTGGCTAAGTGGCTGTTCCGGCGTCTCAAGTTCCTGACCGCTGAGTCAGACACCACGGTCTCTTCGTCAGCAGAATTCCTGGAGAAACTCAAAGGGGTAAGCCTCCATCCAAATGAGGTCATGGTATCTTTTGATGTTACATCCCTTTTTACTTCTATTCCCCAGGACCTGGCGATCGAGACAATCGAGCTGCTTCTGCAAAGCAAATACGATGAAACGGAGAATCGTCTTGGACGCGCCCAAGTCCTTCAGCTCCTGAAGTTCTGTCTCAGGACGTACTTCACGTTCGACGGGACAATCTACGAACAGGTGAAGGGCACACCAATGGGTTCGCCGATTTCGGGATTCATCGCCGAGGCGGTCCTGCAACGGTTAGAGTCGCTGGTCTTCCAACACCACAAACCGACGTTCTGGGCCCGGTATGTGGATGATACCTTCGTCGTTATTGTTGGGAGTGCCTACACTCCCAAAAACAAGAGCAGACCAATCAATGGAGATCACGTGCGTTTGCTCTCTCTCTACCGCACTGTCATCTCAATCAGGCGCTTTCCCATTGGCTGCTCCCCTCTTCCCGAAGGTCATTGGACCGAGTGCCGGCGAACCACGCTAGCGTGTGATAAATATGCGTCACCCTTAGCGAGACGTGACTTGCTAATACGTGTTTGCTAATACACGTTCCGTGGCCAGCCGTGTGTTCTTTGTCTGCTGCCTTGATTGGGAACCAGGGCCGAGTGCGCATACGCTCCACGGAATTTCGAGTACCAGGCGGGTCATAACAACTTGGCGACGCAGTTTCTCAACTACAATGGCTGACGAGTACGCAGACTTGAAGCAGATGTTGCAGCAGCAGCTGAAGCTGATGGAGGCTCTGACCGTCAAGCTATCCAATTCATCTATGGGCCAATCAAGCGCGGCTGGTGGTTCACAATCGGTTGATCACATTGCCGGCAGCATCACCGAATTCTTGTATGACCCGCAGCCCCATATCACCTTTGATTCCTGGTACAAGCGATACGAGGACTTGTTCTCTGTCGATCTGGCTGCCCAGGACGATGCATGGAAGGTCCGACTTCTACTTCGCAAACTGGGTCCGGCTGAACACGAGCGTTATGCAAACTTCATCCTTCCCAAGAATCCCCGGGAAGTCGCTTTCAAGGACACGGTCGAGACGTTGTCGCAGATTTTTGGTGAGCAATCATCTCTCTTCAACACTCGATTTCAGTGCTTGCAATTGTGCAAACGAGATTCCGATGATTCATCACGTACGCGGGCATTGTTAATCGTGAGTGTGGGCGTTTCCAACTCGGTTCTCTCACTGAAGACCAGTTTAAATGCCTTATATTTATCTGCGGCCTCCAGTCCCCCAAGGATGCTGATATCCGGACACGTCTCCTGTCCAGAGTGCAGCAGAACAACTCTACCACACTCCAAGAGCTGGCAGCAGAGTGCCAAACGCTGATCAATCTCAAGCACGACTCTGCAATGATTCAGAACCCGGCCTCATCTTTCTCAGTCCATACGGTCACATCGACCAAATCGCATCCTGCTACACGGCCCAAGCAAGTGTCCAAGTCGAGATCTCCGCCATCTCCCTGTCGGCACTGTGGCGCGTGGCATTTCCACCGGGATTGCACTTTCCGCCAGTATCGCTGCCAAAGCTGTAATCAGGTGGGACACCGTGATGGGTTCTGCAAATCATTACCAGCTTCTGGAGGCAAGCCAGCCCCCGCCACTCCTAATTCCAGGCACCGTTTCCGGTCAAAACGCAAGCCCAAACCCCAGTCCGTGGGTAATTCTCTCAATCTTTTGGCCGCATTCCAGCTCAATGCGTCTGGTCGTAGAAAATTTGTTTATGTCTTGCTCAATGGCCATGCAGTTCGTCTACAGCTGGACACTGCCTCAGATATCACCATCATCTCTGAGAGACTCTGGCAGTCCCTTGGCAGCCCAACGATGCAGCAGACTTCTCAGTCCGCCATAAGCGCGTGCGGTGGTCTCGTACAGCTAATTGGGCAGCTGCAATGCTGTGTGTCGTTCCGCGGTACCAGCATCACTGCGATCTGCTACATCACCAAGTCTGATCTAAACCTACTTGGTCTCGACTGGATTGAACAACTTGGGTTGGCCGATATGCCGCTCCGCATTGTTTGCAGTCAAGTGCAGATTCCCGCTGTGCTTGCAGACCAAGCCAAGGACATTCTCCAACGGTTTGCTCCAGT